AGTCGCCCCCCCCCCCCCCCCCTTCCAGGTTAAAATGAACTGAGCTGTGGGACAGCCCCTAGTTCACTCTATAAAATCTGCAAGGGTTGAAATTCCTAGTAATACAACCACCCATTATAACTTCCACATCCATTCTACAAGTTCATCTACTATACTTTGAAATGCCACAACCACCTCAATTCAAACACTTACCAACTCACCATTCATAACCATTTACCCATGCCACTCAACACCAAATAACATGTGGCTGAAATTTTGCTAATAACCCAAGAAACAATCTGCCAGCAATGGGGCTCACACCTCGCCAAATTTTCAAAGTCAATAACATAATAAGTAGAGGCATACAAATTCCACTTACCCATACAATTAAACTGAGTTAAAGTCTGAAGGTTTCTGATAACAGCATGTTAAAATATGTAAAACTGTTCTTTTGGACTTCATCCATTATCTAAATTATAAAATTATGAAACCATATTTCACAAGCTGGAACTCTGCTTCCATCTTGAGGTAAAAACGGGGTAAAGAGATCAGAAAGTCTAGCTGTTGGACCCTTTGGCTGAGCTAGCCTCAGACTTGGAGAGCTACAACATTGACAAGTCTGGAAGATCTAAGACTGTTAACACGTGAAAGAAATTCCTGCAGTATATCAAATGTGTCACCCACACATCTGAGGCACATAGCAGGCTTTTGTGACACTGAATCAAAAGTTAAATGTTCAAAATGTTCCATCAAGACATTACTGATGACTTGGAGAAAGAGAACTTCCCACGGCCATGCTGCTGTTATTTTAATAACACCTATCTTTCACCTACAGATATGTCATTAGATACCCACTTATGCATTTAAGAGTTATCTCCCACAAATGACTGTCATCTGCAGGTCTTATTCTAACACTTCAATGTTGCAGCTGACCAGATCTGAGGATAGCTCAACCAAGGGGCGCAAAAGATAGGCTAAGATGGAAGCTGAATCCAGCTTCTGAAACATTGTAGTTTTGGTATTTTATAATTTAGTTGATGGACACAGCAGTCCATAAGAACATTTTTATATAATATAAACCGAGACTCTTCCAAGTTAATTTGCCCATAGCAAGTGCACAAGTACATCTGTGGAGTGCCTATCTGGGAACTTGAAATGTAAACACATTATAAAAGAAAAATCCAACAGAAACACCTTGTAAGTGACCTATTCTATTTCAGATACAAAATCACCAATTACAGTACGTACATGTGAGCCTTATTTTTGACAGCATAAGGTAATGCTGTGTGAGCTTTGTGTAGTCTGTTCTCAGTTCGTGCCATTGTTTGTCCTCTGATACTAGTCTATGTTTCGTTAAAGATGGCGGTGCTAATTTATCACTTGTCACTGTGATTTCAGGTTGAAGTTTTGTTGTTGTTATTATCACTGTTTTAGGTTTAAGTACAGCACTATCTTGCGGCTTTGCGATTACAGCTGTAGGTTCAGTAGCAGGTGGAGGTGAAACTTTATTGGAATACTGAAATGATAATAAAATACATTACAATGATTAAGAACAATGACCACTATTGCACAGTAACTTACATCTCCAGACCACCTTTATGAACCAACATTTTCATATTTTCTTCTCCTTCTAGTCTATTTAGCATTATTACATCAGCTACACAATGAGAGGATGATTATGAATGACAATCAGAAAGGATGTGGAAATGTTTTAATGCAGATACTTCCACAGAATGAAAGCTGCACCTTGCACACCTTATGCATTTATGAACACATGTCAAAGTTACACAGCACATATATATGTACATTATTATTAAGCAGTACAAACTTTCAATTTTCTCTCCAGTTGGGGTTTTGTGTGCAATCAGTGCACAAAGGATAACTGCACCTGTTTTTTTTCAGGAAACAATTAATTTCAGACATTATGCAAGATTGATTCTGTCACCCTTCTTCAATCAAATAAGAACATCATAAAAGAATTTTATGCAAGTCAATGCAACAGCACACAATGCAAACAATTCTTTGTTGTATTTGATGAGTCATAAATCAAGAATTGTGGCCTTCACAATCACCTCATTCAAATCCTTGTAGCTACTTTTTTGTGGAGTACACTAAATAAAGTGTTTTTGAAGAATCCATACTCTTTGGAAGAACTCCAATAATATTAGACATTAAAATTTCTGCTATTCCCATACAGCAACTTCATTGTGTTTTCAGAAACATATTCTCATGATGTAAGATGAGCCTAGAAGCAGAGGGTCTCTCTTATACAGTATGTGTTTCTTTAAAATAAAAGTGTTTGTCAGATTCAAACACAGAACCTTCAAGTCAGATTGAATGAACAACAAATCATGGCACAACTAACAGTAATTAATGGAAAGTACAGAAAAGCCATATATGGACAAATACAAGATTATGTAAGTTTAGTAAGTGAAGTGAAATAGACTAAATCTTGTGTGTAACAGTGGGTATAAGTATTTGCAATTACTATATATGGCTTAACATTGTTAAACATTATAAAATGACAGATAAAGCAATGAGTTACCAGGGAGATGTGGCCCTTGCTGTGGAAAGTCAGTCAAGGTGTATAATGTGATGACTAACTGGTGGCATCACTGGGAATGTGTTAACACCTGAACAATAACTTCTATTTATGTAAATCAAGGTATTGTCTGTCATGTAAGCAAACTAAATTAACTGGAGTACAGGAGAAATGATCTGTTGAAATACACTGTTTGAAGGTGATGTTTTCAATTATATTACCAGTGAACACTTCTTCCAATGTACTTTCTAGATCAGTAGGTTCCTAACATTCACTGCAGTCACAGAAAGAAAGAAAATTTGTATGAGGCAGAATAGAAATCACAGTAAACAGTGTTGGCATGTACAAAGGTGATGGAGTTGGACTGTTGTTATTTCATATATTTTATAGGCTTCCAGCAATAACTTCACATTTAGGTGAAAAAAGCACACATAAATCTGGTGGTCATTAAGCAACAAAATTTGGCAGGAATACTAATCTCCACTGGGACTACAATCTCAGAAAAAAATAATACAATCCAGAGTGTGTCAGGTTGTGACCTGTTGATTGACATGGAATGAGGAAAAGGTGCTTGCAGAAGAATTACAGCTTCTGCTCATTCTTGACTTCAACACTAAATGGGGGTTAGTGGTCAGTGTCGCATCCTGTCAGACTAAACAAAATTTAAATTAAAACAAGTTACTCTGACCTAACTAAACTAGTCAGACCATACCAGAATTTCCAGTTTCAACAGATCACTCTAGCTACTTCAGCATTTTGTCTACATCACTTTTACATTTGGTATAATATGATATGCAACAATATATTTTCGCTTGGCATGTTACAGTATGTTTCATGCAGACATCTTGAAGTGAATTATCAATGTGCATCATAGAATACAAACAGCTACAAAGGAGAGGAGAAGGAGAAGCTAACACTTGGGGAGTGATTGAGAATCAGTACACATAAAAGCATCTGTGGTGCTAGCTGTTGCACGTATACTTACATTTAAAACAGCTGCATATACGGATTGGTTGAAGCGTGATAACCTGCACTGTCGTCTGCATATTGAAGTTAAAACTATATACATTATATAAACTATGTATCACAGGTTCAAAATGACAATCATCTTCGGGCATTCTGCAAAATACAATGTACCTCCATACAAATTACTCGTATCAAGACGTCATTCACCTAAGTAAATAAATCCTAAATTCTCTTCTACTCTGATCAGAGGCAATATGTTAAGCATACTTAAAAAAAAAACTTTCTGATGCCAGAAAAATTTCTTTCAGAGCATGGGTTGTATTTATTAGCGAATTATGTTCTAAGAAAATTTAAGTGGTGTGACCTATTCCTTGCTCAAAATCGAGGATTGATTTGGCGTTATCTTCTCAAATAAAATGAGTCCACCTTGTAGCATTATGTCACTAACTTTACCTCTGATAACAAACTATCTATCTACCATAATTATACCCGCTGTCGTAAATATTCTGAACCCATAACGACTAACAAACACACCGCAATACAAATTACATAACCGCGAAGTGCCCCGTATCACAGATAACAAAACCCCGCATCCTCGAGCCCATGGATCATAACACCAACACAGTGAACTCGGTGAAAGTCGGTTATGTACTCTCCCGATGTGTTATTCTTGGTTTTTCTGCATACCATTTTTCACACCTTTATTCACTTGAACAACATATCACTTCGAAATATGTTCAAACGAACAGAATGTGTGAAAAATGATGTGCAGAAAAACCAAGTACCCATTGTAAGATTGCTAGGGAAATTGACTTTGCGATTTCAGCGACATCTTTTTACAGATGGGAATATGAATTTCAGAAGACAGCCATCTCTCAGAACCACTGCCTCAAATCCTGCTTAATATGAACGTGAAATACAGACATCCATGTCATTCGTATTATTCATATCAGATGTCAGCATTAAACAAAACTGTGGCTATGATTCCTTCCTTGCCTTGCATAGTATTAGACGATGAAAAATTTCGTACCCTCGAATTGTGATAATGTTCTTAACTGTGTTCACGGACAGATCGTCCTTGTTAGTATGCTGAAACAGAAATAAATCACTGACATAATGTCCTTTCGCCATTAGTAAGTTTCTTTCAAACTTTCAGAAAGATATTATATTCTTCTGCCTTGTACGCAGACGTTGCTTTCCTGGTCAAAAGTAATCAGATAATCTGAAGCGTTTGTAGACATCCACCAGACTACATTGTGCAACAACCCAGAAGATAGCAATTGCCTTTCCATTTGCTGCACCTTAGCTGCTAATGACATTTATAACAGGCCTAATGTTTACATGTACCACAAATGTAGCATAAATCTTTTGTTTAAATCAGTCAGCTGCTAACCGTGTGTTGTACCAAAATGTTTCATTATGTTTATCTCATGTATGTATTGTTCTGTACTCTGTCCTTTGCATTTATATTATTGTTGTGTCCTGACTCTAATTGTTGCTGTTGACTTAGCACATTAAAATAAAAAGTTGATTTATCATCACATTATCTTTCTGAGAAGCTACACTGATGATGGTACTATATTCGGACATATGTTATGTTTGTGATCAGCTTATAGAGTATATATTGAGATGAACAACTCCCTCCTCACCTGGGCTGACTGCAGTGCTATCAGGGATGGTAGCTCATAGGTGGCAAATCCATGTCAGAAGTAAGTAAGGTATTGTTTGAATTCTCGGAACCACAAATTTTTTAATATTTTAAATTGCATTTAAACTAAGTCCTTGCCAAAAGAATATCCAAGTTATCCTGCAAAAAAAAAATAAAGACATGCTAAAACAGATAACAGCGTAATGGGGAGGAAATGGCAACGTTAACTCACCCAAAAAGTTGTTGCTTTTGACAGAAACTGCATGAATTCTGTTTGGGTCCCAGCTCTTTAGCCCTAGAAGGAATATGAAAATTGGGATGTGTGTGGTGCGAAACAGAAGAATATATATCTGCTGTTCAGAATGAAATTATTGACCTAGTTTATCTTTGCTCTGCTTCCAACATCTACATGCTTATTTCCTGTTGTATTTCCAAGTGGGAATATAATTCACTTATGGTACATTCTGTGCGGTCACAGAGTACATACTGCTAGTCACAGGCTTCTCACCACAGAGGTGGCTAGTGTCAATTGTTTTCAGGGCAAATAAGCAGTGGCCTGTGATTGGCTCAGTCACTTTCCCTTACCATCATCAGTGTGGTTTCTCTGAAAGATAATATGATGATAAATCAATTTTTTATTTTAATGTGCAAAGTCAACAGCTACAATTAGAGTCAGGGCACCACAATAATATAAATTCAAAGGACAGAATACAGAACTATACATACATGAGATAAACAATAAAACATACAGTTAGCAGCTGACCGATTTAAACAAAAGATTTATGCTACATTTGTGGTACATGTAAACATTAGGCCTGTTATAAATGTCATTAGCAGCTAAGGTGCAGCAAATGGAAAGGCAATTGCTAGCTTCTGGGTTGTTGCGCAATGTAGTCTGGTAGATGTCCACCAACATTTCGGAGGTCATGCTGATGACAGAGGCAGCTTGACCTCTGAAACGTTGGTGGACTTCTACTTCAGACTCAGCACCATGAAAACCTCATATCCTACTTATCTTTGCATTATTTACAAGAAAGGAAAAAAACAGAGTTCCCATTTACCTTTCTGCATCTTTGCATTCTGATGCTCCTACCTAAAATAGTACACCTGCAGTAAATTACATAAGACAGGCAAGTATTATCATATGTATCATCTACATAATCACAGAAAATTGAATACAGTACTAAGGGCCACAGTAATTTGACCATGCAAAAGTAGCACATATGTATATCATTATAAAGAAATTTAATTCTGTATTGTGACTTAACAGTACATATGGCCATGGTCAGTTTTAAACACATCTGGAAGCTCAAAAACAGAGGTCTCTCAGCTACAGTGGTTATCTGATGAAGTGCAAGATCTGTTGGGGGGGGGGGGGGGGGGGGGACCAAGAACGTGTGTTGTACCAAAATGTTTCATTATGTTTATCTCATGTATGTATTGTTCTGTACTCTGTCCTTTGCATTTATATTATTGTTGTGTCCTGACTCTAATTGTTGCTGTTGACTTAGCACATTAAAATAAAAAGTTGATTTATCATCACATTATCTTTCTGAGAAGCTACACTGATGATGGTACTATATTCGGACATATGTTATGTTTGTGATCAGCTTATAGAGTATATATTGAGATGAACAACTCCCTCCTCACCTGGGCTGACTGCAGTGCTATCAGGGATGGTAGCTCATAGGTGGCAAATCCATGTCAGAAGTAAGTAAGGTATTGTTTGAATTCTCGGAACCACAAATTTTTTAATATTTTAAATTGCATTTAAACTAAGTCCTTGCCAAAAGAATATCCAAGTTATCCTGCAAAAAAAAAATAAAGACATGCTAAAACAGATAACAGCGTAATGGGGAGGAAATGGCAACGTTAACTCACCCAAAAAGTTGTTGCTTTTGACAGAAACTGCATGAATTCTGTTTGGGTCCCAGCTCTTTAGCCCTAGAAGGAATATGAAAATTGGGATGTGTGTGGTGCGAAACAGAAGAATATATATCTGCTGTTCAGAATGAAATTATTGACCTAGTTTATCTTTGCTCTGCTTCCAACATCTACATGCTTATTTCCTGTTGTATTTCCAAGTGGGAATATAATTCACTTATGGTACATTCTGTGCGGTCACAGAGTACATACTGCTAGTCACAGGCTTCTCACCACAGAGGTGGCTAGTGTCAATTGTTTTCAGGGCAAATAAGCAGTGGCCTGTGATTGGCTCAGTCACTTTCCCTTACCATCATCAGTGTGGTTTCTCTGAAAGATAATATGATGATAAATCAATTTTTTATTTTAATGTGCAAAGTCAACAGCTACAATTAGAGTCAGGGCACCACAATAATATAAATTCAAAGGACAGAATACAGAACTATACATACATGAGATAAACAATAAAACATACAGTTAGCAGCTGACCGATTTAAACAAAAGATTTATGCTACATTTGTGGTACATGTAAACATTAGGCCTGTTATAAATGTCATTAGCAGCTAAGGTGCAGCAAATGGAAAGGCAATTGCTAGCTTCTGGGTTGTTGCGCAATGTAGTCTGGTAGATGTCCACCAACATTTCGGAGGTCATGCTGATGACAGAGGCAGCTTGACCTCTGAAACGTTGGTGGACTTCTACTTCAGACTCAGCACCATGAAAACCTCATATCCTACTTATCTTTGCATTATTTACAAGAAAGGAAAAAAACAGAGTTCCCATTTACCTTTCTGCATCTTTGCATTCTGATGCTCCTACCTAAAATAGTACACCTGCAGTAAATTACATAAGACAGGCAAGTATTATCATATGTATCATCTACATAATCACAGAAAATTGAATACAGTACTAAGGGCCACAGTAATTTGACCATGCAAAAGTAGCACATATGTATATCATTATAAAGAAATTTAATTCTGTATTGTGACTTAACAGTACATATGGCCATGGTCAGTTTTAAACACATCTGGAAGCTCAAAAACAGAGGTCTCTCAGCTACAGTGGTTATCTGATGAAGTGCAAGATCTGTTGGGGGGGGGGGGGGGGGGGGG